GTTCTGATCCGCTCTTTCTTCTGATTCAGATTCTAATTCAAACTCAGATTCTGATTCAGATTCTAATTCTCATTCCATTTCCATTTGATATAGAGTAGACGGGGCAGCGGCTAGATATTAAAATAAATCACCGACTAAACTGTGGACAATAAATCTGCTAGGCGGAGCACAAAAGTACCTGAAATTGGGATAGGCCTACAGTTCAGATGGACTTTTATTGGACTGGTGAGAATGAAAGCTTTTCGAGGTACTATTAAGCTTCGATGGCGAGAGGTAAACCGTCATGGGGATCTGAGCAGAATGAGTTCCTGGCATGTCCATACCGATCCCATCGAGAAGGCATTCGGATGGCGGCTCATCGTTACCACTTAACCCAGAGAATTGGCATTTCCTGCATTAACAGGCACTCAGCATCTGATTAGTTGTAGGATCGTAGGTTTTATGGATCCCGAGCGTTGAGTTGGAGGAGTCGCTCCGCAGAGTCATACCATTACCATTTTGGGTTTTTTTGCCAATTCCGATTCCTAGAAGGGCATGGCCAGTAATGAATGGTGAGGAATTGCCGCTGGCTGCATTTTGAAGACACTTAAAAGGTTTTCGGTTTCTTGCCACAATTTGATTGCATCAATAAAAAGTCAACCTCGCTGGCTCTTTAATGAGTGCACCAAGCAGGAGGAGGCATCTCTCGCAGATTGACAATGGAAATGAGGTACCAAGTGGCCAGCATACACTCTCGGTTTTATTTATAGCATCTCCTAAGCGTTGCCATTAAAGCCAGATTCTCATGCTTAGGGTCTCGAATGGGCTTTCGATGGGGGAACGCTGTTCAGGTGCTGCTGGGTTGGTTGGGGGCCAGCCGAATGCGAATTAATTGGCTGCTGTCTTTGGCCAAATGCTGGGGATGTGGCCAAGGCTAAGAGCCGGACTGAGGTGAAGGATGAGGCTGAGGATGGGCAGCTGCAGCTAGCCGATGTCTGGAAGCCTTGATGAGAGGCGCCAAAGTGCCAACACCCCATGCCAGCGATTCGGCCTCGCCAGCATGCACAGCGAGAAATGTTTGGGTACAACGAAAAAAAGAAATCTTACCTATAATATATATAACAGAATGTTACATTTTAAGACAAAGTTTATAATATTTGAAATATTTGTTGAGGTTTGTAGGGAGCCATTTCTAGACTAACATTTTTGAAGTGCAACATTCCTGTCAAAATTGCACATCCCGAAGCGTCCCTCCACTGAGCCATACTAATTAATAATAATAAAACAAAAGTACAGACAAACGAGAAGCAGGAAGACGCAGTGGCTGTGGCCAAGATTCATGCTCTTGGCCGAGCCAAACTAAGCCGCATCCAAGTCCGAGTGGCCAGGCGTTTATTTTTAGACAATAAACCGAGGATGCCTGTTGCAGCGCACGAGGAGCAGCAACTGCGATCGGCTAATGGTAATGAGCTGCAAGCTATTTACAGTTTGGCTGCGGCCTTGCAGCCCATAGATGGCAATTGGCCATATATCCGCCACCCAAGCCCACCCCGCCCTCCTCCTCCGCCTCCCTCCGGAGAGCATCCATATTTATGGGCCAGCATCAATCTGACTTAATGCTGGTGCCGCTTGATTAGCATGTCGATGAGCTTGAGGAAGAATCCGCCGTTCGAGGAGCAGGTGGCTGATGACTGCGCGAGGGGGCACTGGATTGCGACCTTATGGAGGGGCAATCGGTTCCGTGCAACCCCCAAAACACTCGTTGAATGGCCTTCAACGTCCTTGGCTGTACATTTATTGAACTTGTGTATAATTATAATTTATTTGCCTATTATCGAGTCTCGACTTGTAGTTACTGCTGCGGCTGCTGCTGCTGCTGCTGCTGTTGCTGTTATTGTTATGGCTCACGTTTTTGTGCTCGCCAAATATTATAATTTATGTGAATAAAGCGATGTGAATCTCTAGCCCCTAGATAGACTCGTCTCGGAGTACTCACCTAGCCCCCACCACCAATCTGCCGTCTACGCTGACCATGTCTATTAGCAAACAATTTGTATTGTCTAAGAGTTAATCATTCGTAGCGTCATCGATTTATTTATAAGCAATTTTATTAACGCCTTAGCAGATTATTTCATTTATTATGTAAAAATGCGTTTTATGTTAATTTCAATTGTTTACCTTATTTATTCAAAGGTGCTAAACTGGCGTAATGATATAAACAAAAAAACATAAAAAAAACTAGTTATCAGTGCGTTCTAGAAATATATATGGGCCGCAGTTTCTAAAATGTTGGTCAAACATAATCAAAACAATAATCAGGTTATAAGTTCGAGGAAAAGGTAAATATTTGGCCATCAGTTAAGGTACCTTTTGCCACATTGCTGGCATTGTAGGAATAGGTTTTCTTTCAAAGACTACAGAGATTTGCCCCGGGACATGTCTGATAGGCAAATCAACATGCAAAACAATGCAGCAACTGAAAAAAATGTACAACAACTAAAAAGTAAATCCAGAGAAAAGCGGCCGAAAAGACTTGAAAAACACTTTGTGCTGATTCTGGGCGAAATCAAAAAGTCATCATTCGCCACGAGAAACCGAATCTGCAAGTGTGAGTGTGAGTGTGAATGTGAGTGCGAGTGTGCCTAATGAGTATTCAATTGATGCAGAAAGCAACCGGCGGCCACCAGAAGTAACCACCATAAATGGCCATTTGAAAGACGTTACAGTTCGATCGTCCAATCGTCCAATAGTCCGATCGATCGAACGCCAGATCCGAAATTCGATTAGGAGGAGAGTAGGGAGCAAAAAGACCGGAGAACTGCGGGCACTTCAGAAGAATTGGGATGGGGCAGCGAAAATTAGAAAGAAGTGCGTCCAGGGAATCGGGGTCAATAGGAAATGAAAAGTGAAATTTTATGCCCGGAGCTTTGTGCCTTTTGTGTGCCGTGTACTCTACACAATTCGTTCGACAATGTGTGCTTTGGATTTTCGACTTTTGATTTTTGATTTTTTTGGCCAAAGGAACTTGCAATTTAAATATCATTAAATTCTGGGTTAAGCCTTTGTGCCGGCCACTTGAAAATTGCCACCGTATAATCAGTTTTTGACAGCCATCGCCGAATCAGCCGCAAGCCAAATTGGCAACGGCTCTTCGATTTGAACTGCCCCTCAAGTGGAAAAGGCGACACTCTGTCGAGCACTCAATGGCACTTTAATCAGCGGGGAATTGTCCAGAAATCTGCCGGAGTAGAGAAACTACTGTCCAGAAGTTGACCGAAGAAGGGTCTTGAGGTTCTAAAAATATCATGGTAATCAAATCTGAGATCAAAGCCTAATCAATCACTCTGAAATCATCATATCATGTAACCTTATACTTGCAACTACTTCTCATTGGTACCTAAATATATTAACAATATTATTATAAAAGTTTAACTATGTTAAGAATTCCATTTCCGAAGCCTGAGTGAGCAATACGATTTAATAACTATTAATTATGCATGTTTGTGTAATTTGTTAATGGAGACAAATAAAATAAATCCATAGGATACCTAAACGCCTGTCAATGGCCCAGCGATATAATCAATTAGCACGACTTATGCTGCACTTGGCAACTCCGCGGATCCATGTCCGAGTGGTACGGCAAGTACTCTTAGTACTCGTACTAGCCTCCAGCGTGATTCATCCGCGGAACACAGAGTTCGTGCCAAACGAGACCTTCTGCATATTGAAATGTGGCAAACAAAAGATAAAAACGGCCAGGGCATTAAGTCAGGCAGCATGGCCTGAAAGCTAAGCAAAAAGGCCCAAAAAGGTAGTAAACCCTAAGTTCGTCGCAATTAAATGGGCGAATTGCTGAGTGCGTACCTTTAAGCCCTGGCCATTAAAATCAGGGGGCCCACTGAAAATAACGAGCCCATAAAAGCATCTTCCAGCAGCCACAGGTGGCCAGAGTGATGACGCGACAACGGATTGGGTTCCGTTCCGTTTGGCTCGGTTCGGTTCGGTTCGGTTTGGTTCCGTTGCTATCAAACAATTGGGTATTAATTTTAATAAATAATCACTCAGCGCACCGAGAATGGAAAAAAATAAATAATAATTCGAGTTGTTGCGATTGGTTTTTGCATTGGATGGGATGGCAAGATGACTAGATGACTCGGGGAGGTTATCCACACAATGCCTTGAGTCATCTCCCGATCGAATGGAACATGGAACGCGCTTAAAAACGTATTATGGAAGACGGAAATGAATGCCGGGAAAAAATTGTATGCCTTCGCATTACGTACGTGTATGTATATTATATAGAAATACGCAAATGGAAAATATAAAAAATAGCCATGCATGGTCGAAGAATAAATTAAATTTGCGTTTCAGGCGAAGAATCTTCAAGCAGAATCTCCGCACAAGAATCTTCGTGTGTTTAAAATTAAACCCTGAGCTAAGCTGCTCCGGCATTTCAGCCAAAATAGATAGATAGATTCAGATACAGATACACCGATAGAGAGATACAAACATCCATGAGATACAAAAACGGGCTGCGTAAGGTGTTATCAGCCTGTTTACTTTCCATCGGGAGAAGCTCGAGCCCAGCTTGTCTCAAATTACCAAGCAGAAAACAAAAGCAAACGGCTGAAATAACAAATAACTAACAGCGAACACAACAAATACAGCGCACACCGAATGCTTAAATAAATTTGGCAAACAAAAAGCCAAACATTTACTGGGCAACCGAAAAAGATGATAAATGATGCGCGTGTGCAATTCGCGGACAAATTGTTTGGCTTTGGCGATGTTTTAATAAAGCTTAACTAATTAAACATCACCACTCAAAACACTCGAAACGTGCGTGTCTTGGTGTAATATAATAGATTTATTAAATTTGTAGTTTGTGTTATACAAAACACCTTAAGCATTGCATTAAAGATGAAGCCGCAACTCGGGCTTTTGAACCCGACGAAGGACGGCAATCAAAAACTTGGTAAAGTCTTAATTTGTATTTCTTGCTGGGGGAAAGACCCCGATCCTCAGAAGTGCTTGGTCAGATTGCTCAGGCAGGGCGAGTTGTTGGTGAACAGATTGGGCAGGCTGAAGATGTTCAGGTAGGTGGACAGGAAGGTGGCCAGCAGGCCGAAGATGAGCACCGCCATGGTGCAGGACACGTCGCACTCGAGGCGATGGAGGAAACGAACTATTCTCAGCCAGCAGCCGCGTGGCGTGGTCGGCGGCGAGGTCACCAGCAGTGGTTCCATCTCCAGGTCAACCGGGTCGTAGTTGAGGTCCAGTGGCAGACTTCCGTAACTAGCCTCCGCTGCAATTCGCTGATGAACTCGCTCCATCCGCCGTATGCGGCGATACAAAAGTGGCGGCAGAATGAATACCAGTGGTCCGGTGATGGTGCCACCCACCACATCCATCAGGGCATCGAAACTGGGCACAAACTCCGCCACAAGGACCTCTAGGGCCAGCACTGAAGAGCGGATCAGCATTCGTTTGAAGGAGAGCGCTATAAGACGGAAGGATTAGCAGACGATTTACCTAAAATCTAACGTTGACTTAGATTAATGTGTTCAAAGATCTTATGACGGAACTCATTAAAAGTCTTTCTCAGTGGAATGAAATTCCTAGATCATAGAGATCATTAACTTAAGTTACTTAAAGCCGTTTATGAACTTGTTTATCACACAAGTTGAGACTCACATTCCGGCAGCTTGAAGTAGTTCTCGATCTGCATGAACATGGCGGAGCTGGCCACCGTGACGGAGAAGCAAAGCTGGAGCGCCATCAGGATCAACATCACATAGAAGGGCACACTGGTGGGCAAGGACTGCAGCAGGTTATCAGCTATCATCGATCCAAATTTGTAGGCGGCTATGATGGAGCCGAAGATAGCTACGCTGCATGTAACTGATCGGAAGGAATGAAATTATTATCCATCTGTAGTCGGTCTAGTGCAGCGACTCACTGGCGATTCCGATGAGGGCAGCCCAGGAAACCTGCGACTTGTGCTTCATGTCGATCTGAAGGTTCAGCAGGACGGGGTGGATGTCAAACTGGAAGGCCAATATGCTGTAGCTGTTGAGCACGGTGAGGAAGCCAGGCAGCTCTGATAAAAACCAACTTACAATGTTTTAAATATATAAATATATAACTAACACCAATACCCACCCAAGGAGATGCCCTCAAAGGGTGTTCCAATCGCAGGAGCGGCAAAAAGACAGAACCACAGCAGCGCCACAATAACGATCATCACGCAAACAGCGATGATGGCCAGACCCCTGGGATTTTTATGAAGTGGAGAACAGATCATTCAAAGCACTTATCCCTATCCCGAACACCATCTTACCGCATGTGCTTAGGACTGCCCAGCCACATCAGCGGGCAGATAACCAGGCCGACTATGACAGCCCAGTAGCAGTACGAGAAGTTGTATTGACCAGCGCTCATGCGCAGCACGACGCCCTCTAGGTTCTGGGCGGCCATGACCACGCTGGGCACCGCCATGGCGAAGATGCTGAGATCGAGGAGCACGGACACCAGCAGACTCATGTACGGACCGTAAGCCAGCTCTGCCAGCGCGGCATATGGGTAGTTGCGCTTCTGCTGAATAGAAGGATCGAGCAGCTCTGCCATGGTCCAGCATTGGGAGAGCAGGAAGGAGGTGTAGATCTGCAGGATGATGATGGAAAGCACCAGCAGCACGCCAAAGTAGCCAAGCTTCACTAGCAATGCGGGCAGCGTGACAAATGGGAAGATGCCAAACAAATCCACCACGTACAGGATGGCGATGAAGAGCGAAAGGTTCTCCGGTTCGTCCTCATAGGCACGGAAATGGGGAAGGGCGCTGAACCGCGATCTCCGCAGGAAGGGCAACTGGTCGTGCTGATGCGACGGCGTCAACTGGACAGGAGGCCGCCGCTTGGGCAGCGCAAAGGATGGAGCGCGCGATGGGCGTGGCGCGGGCTTAGCATTCTGACGACGGAAAAAGAACATTCGCGATGTGGACTCTTCCAAGGGTAGCAAGCAACTGCAGTCCCTCTAAGCTAAAACTAATGGTGGGCACTTCTCGACAGGCAAGCATATTACCATCAACAAGTTCTGACATCGGACACCCAAGGGAAGCCCTGCAACGACTGCAATGCCAATGCACGTCGCCTGAAGTTCAATGCCTTCGCCTTCCACTCCGTGAAGTGACCCACAATAGCATGGTCAGCTCGGTAACGAACGTGTTTATTTTACATGCACATTTATATAGTATCAACAAATAGCTTCCAGCGCCTCTGTCTTGATCCGCATGAGATTCGACTTTCAGTTTCCTAAAGTTGCACTTGGGAAATCTTCTGCTTCTTCGCTTGGCTCTGAAAGCGGGAAATTGATTAGTTGGATATATAAAATTGAATGGGTACACTGTATACGATATTCACCTCCTCTTTATCATCCGCCTGCATGGTGATGACCTGCACCGCTTGTCCAGGACCAGATCGCAGCACCTTGGATCCACGTAAAGGCACCTCTCCACAGCAGAAAACTCGCGACGTGGGCGTATGCTGAAGTCGTGGGCTTGGAGTGTCCGACTCATCCATGTCCTGCTCCAGCTGGTCGTCTATGGAGTAGCTGTTCGCGTTCTTGTTGTTGTCCGTATAGGCGTGGTTAAAGAGCAAATGGTTGGGACGCACTGCATCCGTTATATACTTACTACATTCCACAGGTTAGGCGGGCATGGTCAGTACAATAGCAACAAAGTTAAGGTTATTGTTTAATGGGACTACATTTTGGCAACAATTCGGTGTAAGTAGATGATACGCACACTGACCACCGGAAAACAATGGCTAATTTAACATGGGTATTTACAAGGGCCAAGATTGAGCAAAAATAAACATGCATTAAAAGAATCACTGCTAAAAAGGAACTTGAACTCTGGTCTGCTCTGCTCACTCACGCTCCATGTAGAGGCGCCACGGCTCAAACAGCTGTTGGTGCTGGTGTGGAAAGTGGTGCGATTTACGGTGCCGGTGGGTTGGAAAGCGTGTGGGCGACGAGGTCTTCTTTTTCAGGTGCAAAGCGCGTCAGGAGTCGCATTCGGTCGGTGCCGGTGCATCCCGCCTGTAGTTTAAGACACAAAAGGAAACAATACATAGACTTCTGGTGGTGCACGTTAAGTGTGTTCTCTGCTGTGTGAAATGGATCAAGGTGGCGCCTCATTCAGTGTACGTATCGTTTGAAAGATGGGTGATTGTAAGTGAACATGCAGGATTTGGGGGAGGTAATAGGAAGACCACCTACGATTTAAAGTTAAACAATCGTTGGCGTTTGATGTACTCCAACACCAGATCGTCTAGAAGGTACTTGACCGACTGACCGCGTCCTAAGAGCCGCCGAATCAACGTGGAGCTCACCTCATTGGGCACCCAGTTAGTAATTAGCGTAATGTTGCTCTAAAATACGTATGGAAATTAATAAGGAATAAACTTGCAGAGCTAGTTTCTCTCTTACCTGATACTTGGTCAATATGTCGGAGTCAAAGATGAATTTTCCTGGGTTTGAGCCGGCCCGAGTGATAACCACCAGACCATGATTAGCCACAATGTCCTCAATCTGGGGTAAGTCATATAAAATAAGGTACTACTCAAATATGTCAAGACTTACATCGGCCTCAGCCCACAGGCCTGGAACAGCAAAGGACTCCAGCAGATCGGCGCCGCACAGTAGCTTCAAATGTACAGGATCTCGACTGTCGTGCAACCCGCGAGGCAGCCATCCGGCTACATGAGTGTCCGCCTCGTCATCTCCGCCAGCTCCACCGGAATTTATCTGGTTATTGATATAGTTCTGGTGGTGCTGCAGCACCGCCTGCGTGCGCATCCACTGATTCTGGTGCACCTCCCAATCGGACAACCGAATCCAATTGGAGCTCTGGGTTGCCAGCTTGACCATGGCACATCTGTCCAGGGCAGAGGCCAGACCCTTCTTGCCATATGAATCGTGGGTGGGCGATATAATGCCGCCCACCACTCTGTGGGTTCCCTGCATTTCGAAGTGGTCCTTGGCTATCTCTGGTGATAAAAACATGCCGCGTAATTTTATCGATTATTTACCGCAGAATTTCACAATCCGGTTACACTCACCGAACATTCGAAGGTGCATGGGTGTGGGTGGACTGAAAGATCCGCAGGCTATGAAGGCGATCCGCGGCAGCAGGCTCTTTGTTTCCTCGATGAATGCCGACATTTTCTTGGATTTTGAGCGTGCTTTAAAATATCCAATCCGCCGGAAGCCTTCGCTTGTTATGTTGTTCTTCGGCCAGCTGATTTTCGCAATCATCTGTTTGGCTTGTTGTTATTTTCCAACACTAAACAGCTGAGCAGTGGCTGCCACCTCTGACTTTGTATTCGATAAGCGATAGCATATCGTGACCAAATTGTTGGATTTTGTTGCAGTTTAATTATAAAAACGGTGTAAGGCAAAAGTACACTAAAAATTCAAAAAAGTCTGTTTCACTGGGATATGAAGAATTAAACAAACATTACTGCGATTCTCATTGATAACTATTTTTTTCGGTGCAACACGCGAACATCGCTTTTGCCAGCGATAGTTAGGCAGCCCTGCCAGAACGATTGCCTGACGATACTAGTGTTATCGATTAGAAATGGCGTCCTCACTGTCTTTCTTTTAAGAAAAATTCGTGTAGTCTATTTACCATTTATCAGCGTTGTGTGTGTTTGTCAATTATAAGGACACGCTGTTTCTTAGAGAGAAGCGCCTGGCTAGAGTGTCAGGAGAGCGGAAACCAAGACGATCGCAGGACGAGGTCGCGGAGCCGAGTGCAAAAACAACGGCCAGCAGGCAGCGACATGAAAATGCATTTGTAGCCCTAGCCCACAACACTTGCACACACACCACACACTCTCGCGCACACTCACACACAGCAAAGAGGAGGTGGTGCAAAAGCAGGAGAGGATTGCAAAGGACACCGCTGCAGCATCGCCATCATCTGCGCCAGGTGGAGCACGAGGGGCAAGAGGCGTCGGCGGGGGCGGAGCAGGAGGAGGAGGAGCGGCTGCGGCGACGACCACGACCACGGCAACAACAAATGGCGCTGGTGACGGTGCAGCGCTCTCCCAGTGTGGCTGGCTCCTGCTCGAATTCGGTGAGAGGAGACTTGATGATTTTCGCGTGTGCATATGCGTGTGTGCTTTGTTATGGTCCCCCACTCTCTGCAAGGAGAGCCAATTACGGGCGGGCTGTTTAGTGCGTGTTCCGCTTTTGGCCATGATCCTTTGTGTGCGCGGATGTGCTTTTCATACCCAATATGCCCAATGTTTATCATCCGCCAGCTTGTTGCTTACGTTTTTTCGATTGCGACGTTCAACGTTCGCGTGTGGGCGGTATGAGGCAGCGTCATCATCGTCATCGGCTGCGCTGCTTTTGGTGTAACCCAAGCAAATCCGCAGACGTCGCGACGTCTATATTTTTCAACAGACTTTTGCATTGCCTTATTTGTCGTTTTTGTCGCTTTCCGCTTACCGCTTGTTTTTGTTTTCTTCGCCGCCCCACCGCCCAAAAATAGTTCGCGAGACCTTGACGTCCGCCTGCACAGAGGGAAAAATTTATAACGCGCAGTGATCAATTTAATTTTACACATCGTTTTAAGTCAGATATGCTAAACATGTCAAATCGTTATTTTTGAACATTTAAATTAACACAATTGTATTATTTCTAAGAAAAAATATTTAAAAAAAAACCACCAAACCGCAGTCTCTTTCGAACCCGTGCCCTTATTCTCAAAATCAGACGGTATACAGTTTACTCACATATCTTGGAACCGCAGATACAGCACTGCTTCTTTTCCGCCTTGAAATTGTAGTAAAGACTGTAATCAGTAGTTATCTGTTCCCTTGGCAAAATTATTTAGCATGCAAGTTTCTTCTTGGCCCGATGATATCTATATATTTAGCGTTACCCGCCGGGTGAGGGGCAGCAGGATTAAGCCTTCTTAAGCACCTAATAAGCAACTTTCCTTTTTTATACCATCAGGATGGCGAGGCCGAGGACGACGAGGGCAATAGTAAAGGAAACGATCGCAGCGAGTGCTTCTTTGCGGGCAAGGGAACCGCCCTGGTCCTGGCTCTTAAGGATATCCCGCCCCTGACGCAAAGCGAGCGCCGTCTGAGCACCGACTCCACCCGCTCCAGTAACAGCACGCAAAGCAACAACTCGGACATCCAGCTCCACCTGCAATCAATGTTTTACCTGCTGCAGCGCGAGGACACGCTGAAGATGGTGCGTATCCGCTGTAAAACGGCTTTGTCTATCTTAAAAACATATATTTCCTTTCTCATCGAAAGGCTGTTAAGTTGGAGTCGCAGCGGTCCAACCGCACGCGCTATCTGGTAATTGCCTCGCGTAGTTGCTGCCGTAGCGGCACCAGCGACCGTCGGCGCCACCGGATCATGCGTCACCACTCGGTAAAAGTTGGTGGATCCGCGGGAACAAAGTCGTCCTCGTCTCCGGCGGTCACCACGCAGCGCCAGCTGTCCGTTGAGCAGACCGCCACAGAGGCAAGCAGCAAATGTGATAAATCAGCGGACAAGGAGAACGCAACGGCGGCAGGCGACAACAAGAATACCTCGGGCATGGAGGAGTCCTGCCTGCTGGGCATAGACTGCAACGAGCGGACCACAATTGGCCTGGTGGTACCCATCCTGGCGGACACTACAATCCACCTGGATGGCGATGGGTAAGACTAAACATTCATTTTGATTGAGTCATACCATACACTCATAAATGCTTAATTGTTGCAAGTAACCTTGGGAAATATGTATAGAACTAAATTAAAAATTAGCCGCCCCTAATCTATACACAAATCGGTTTTGCCTTGACCAATTTCCTAGTTCGCACATGTGTTCCCCATTTGTCTTATGCTATATTAATAATAACCAGACAGTGTATTTGTTTTGAATTACGTGTTATGCACATTTCCCTAATTTCTTTGGTTTGTCTTATCTTGTTTTGCAGCGGATTCAGCGTCAAAGTATACGAAAAGACGCATATATTCAAGCCGGTCTCAGTGCAGGCCATGTGGTAGGTACCTTTGCCGGAGCTAAATCCTTTTCATCCACCAATGAAACCTTTGTTATGTTCCAGGTCCGCGCTGCAGACGCTGCACAAAGTGTCGAAAAAGGCTCGTGAGAATAACTTTTATGCCAGTGGACCCTCCCACGACTGGCTATCCAGTTACGAGAGGCGCATCGAGTCGGACCAATCTTGTCTGAACGAGTGGAATGCCATGGACGCGCTCGAGAGCCGCCGACCACCTTCGCCTGATGCCATACGAAACAAGTAAGGGTTTCGATATAACTAATCATTCACTGCTTTACTTATTCTTTGCCTTGAATGTGTTTGGCAGACCCCCCGAAAAGGAGGAAACCGAAAGTGTCATTAAGATGAAGCTGAAGGCCATCATGATGTCCGTGGACCTGGACGAGGTCACCTCCAAGTATATACGCGGGCGCCTTGAGGAGATCCTGGACATGGATTTGGGCGAGTACAAGTCGTTTATCGATGCCGAAATGCTCGTTATTCTAGGCCAAATGGATGCCCCCACCAAGATTTTCGAGCACGTCTATCTAGGATCAGAGTGGAATGCCAGCAACCTTGAGGAGCTGCAGAAAAACGGGTATGTTTAAGAAAAAAAATCACACTATTGATTTCTTGTAATAATTGGTTAATATCAACAAAAACTTATTTTCATTACCAGCGTTCGACACATCCTGAACGTGACGCGCGAGATTGACAACTTCTTTCCGGGCACCTTCGAGTATTTCAACGTCCGCGTGTACGACGATGAGAAGACGAACCTGCTCAAGTACTGGGACGATACGTTCCGCTACATCACGCGGGCAAAGGCCGAGGGATCGAAGGTGCTGGTGCACTGCAAGATGGGCGTCAGCCGATCCGCCTCGGTTGTCATCGCGTATGCCATGAAGGCTTACCAGTGGGAGTTCCAGCAAGCACTGGAGCACGTAAAGAAGAGGCGTAGCTGTATAAAGCCCAACAAAAACTTCCTCAATCAGCTGGAGACGTATAGCGGGATGTTAGACGCCATGAAGAACAAGGAAAAGCTGCAGCGCAGCAAGAGCGAGACGAACTTAAAGAGCACAAAGGACGCACGCCTGTTACCTGGTAGCGAACCAACGCCCCTCATCCAGGCGCTAAACCAGGCCAAGTCGAAGTCTACTGGTGAAGCGGGCGTTACACCCGATGGCGAAGAGGAGGATGGCTCTCGCATGCACCGGCGATCCACCGCTCAGAAGTCGCAGCGTCGCATGGTTAGGCGCTCCAGTAGCACATCGCCCAAAACCCAGACGGCCGTGGTTACCAAGCAGCAAAGCCAGTCTATGGAGAACCTTACGCCGGAACGTAGCGTGGCTGAGGAGCCAAAAAACATGCGTTTCCCAGGCAGCAACGGGGAGAACTACAGCGTCACCCAGAACCAGGTGCTGCACATCCAGAAACACACGCCTCTGTCTGTGCGCACCCGGATTCACGATCTCGAGGCGCACCGGGCGGACCAGCTGCCACAGCAACCTGTTTGGACCTCGCTGACAAAACTGATTACACAGACCTCTCACCTGGTAAAAAGTAGCAGTGACAGCAGCAGTGGAAACATAGACTCGCGGCGTGATTCTAGCTGCTCGGATGTATTCTCCTCGCAGGTGGACAACGTTTTTGCCAAGGATGAAGGGGAGAAGCGTCAGCGCCGCAAAACCCACTCCTGGACGGAGTCGTTCGGTCCCAGTGGCGGCATCGTGCTGGACCCCACGCCCCAGCAACAGAAGCAGCAGTCAAACGCCATTTTGCGTCCGCGAGGCACACGTCAGCGGGAGCTGCCTTCACGGCACGCTAGTTGGGGATCTGGAGACAACCGATGCTGTTTGCCACAGAGGGCCAGTTCCGGCTCCTACTACGATTCCAATCGTAACACTACGGCCATCTTCGAGGGCGTTATCCAAGACCTTAAGCGCAGTTCCAATTGCAATGTAATCGAAGGAGTCGCGGTGGCAGTGGAACCCATAGTTGGAGTTGGCGAGGGCACCGTAAAACGCACCAAGCAGAAGCTGGAAGAAAGCACCGCACTGAAGAAGCGCTGCCAGGAAGAAAGCCAGGAGCTGCTACTCGAGGCGGTGGATACTGGGCAGAAGCGGTGTCCAAGCCTCTATAGGAGCGCCTCCTCGGCGCACAGTCCGCGTCAGCGCCAGCCGCTACGCTGCAATAGTGAGGAGCTGATGCACACCAGCGACATCGAGAACAAGAACACTACGCCAGGCGACCAGGAGGCGACGGTAGTGCTGCGCGTCCAGGGACAAACGCTGGCCGAGGATCAGCGCATCTCGGGAAATGTGCAAATACTCAAACAAAATTTCGAAGCCAAAGCGGGGGTGGTGGGCTCAGGAGGAGGAGGCGGTGGCACAGCACCGGGATCGGGCAGTAGTTCAACAATCGCAACGTCGGTATCTGCAGTGGCTGGAGCCAGCGCAGCGAATGCCGGCAAGAAGACCACCAGCCACCAATCACTGCCATCGTCGCCGGTGGCGCAGCATGCCAACCACGTGTCCGCCGCCTCGAACTCCAACTCCTCCACCTCCAACTCATCCGATTCCAGCGTAAGCGAAAATTGTGATCGTAATGTAAAAGGTCTAGTGCATAAATATCAAACCACTACTTCCTGCAGTAGCCAGGCGGCCGCCACGCCCACAGTCGCCTGTGCCCCACTGCCACCCGCCGGAACCGCCAGCAACATCAGCCACGCCTGCAGCACCACTACCACCACTAGCTTCAAGCAACGCCCGCTCTCCTACTACGACCGCTCGCTGTCCAACAGATCCACGCATGACTACAGCGACAGTCGCCCGCCACCAGCGCCCGTCCGCGTCAGTCACAGCAGCAACGTTCAGCACCAGCAGCAGCAGACACAACAGCAACCGGAGCAGCAGCAGGTGCAGATCCGGCGGTTGGCGCAGCACGGGAAGACGCATCCGCTGAGCAGGCTAAGTGCTCCGAAAACAGGCTTCAACACCGCCGCCTACAACACCATGTAAAACCCATGCTCTGCTTAACAACATGCTAACTGCATACTGCAACCTGCAACATTCACATACCACTTGCAACTTGCAATCCATACCCTGTAGCCACTAAGGATCGTCCTCATCCTCTCGCCCGCTTTACTTATTTATATATTTGCCCGCTTTCGACCATTTTGTGTTTTTTGTCCAACAATCGAACACCACCACCCTTCCATCCCCTCATGCCTTGTGTTTGTTGTCTTGTTGTTTAAGGCGTCCATGAAAGCCTCTAAAGAACTTGTGTCTGAAACGTGTGAATGGAACTATTAAGATGACAAGAGAGGGCAAACAAAACAACCTATGGAAATGAAACTGTATTTGTACTTTTAAATTACTTGTAACTGTATACATATTTATTTTATATTATGCAAGAACTGCCTACGAATAAACGATTTATTGTATATACGTCATCGTCTTGTGAGTGTCCCTGTGCCGTCCTTGTGCCATCCAAAGACTGTGTTCCAATGTGTGCAATGAACACTGCCCTCCGTTTTTACCAGATTTGTATTTGCAGCCTTATCCACATGATCCGCTCCTTCCGCTACTCTTGGGCGGAGTACAAGAAGTGATCCGGCACATGGAGCACCGACTGCCGAGGCCGCGGCCCAAAAGTTCCCACCTTGAAAACTTGTATTTTTTGCTACTTATCAGACAACATATTTATAAATAAAAATGTGTAATCCAGTTTCGAGCGCAATCTGTTTTCCTGTTGGTCATGATTCACCTTTGGGTACACACATAATTTAATGCAGACCAGATATATCATAAATTTCACATATTTATCAATTACTTATAGATTAAGTTTAACAAAAGTCGATTAATTATAATGAACCTTGATATAGTTTGCGTATTTTAAAATTAAATATAGATATTGTAAGTTCCGTATAGTAGCACACAAATATAGATTGTAAAATTTTTGTTTTTAATTAAGAGAAACGTTCGACTTAACTAATGACGTGATCGATTTGAAAATAAATAATATCTTTGAATATTTATTAACCTTTCTAACGGTGCAGTGTTTAAAAATTATATTTTCAGATCAGTCCTTATCGATAGCCGACGATGCATATTGTCCGTTGCCTATCGCCCACCGATATGTGTAGGAGGAAAGGCACACAACCAACTGGTAACACTGGCACGCACACACCTGCAGCTGCGCTAGCACACACACACACGAGGCACACACGCACACAGACGCGCACTGAACTTCCACAGTTTCTTTATTTTCTGCAGGAAAATTAGAAGCAAAACTATACGAAATTCGCAGTGAACTCGCGGGGGACTCGCGACCGTAACGTAATCGGAATCTCGCTGGTGATCCGGAGGCCAAGTGCACACTGTGCGATGCTAGCCACTGGCCAGCAATCAGCCGTCGCCGTCCAATAACCAATAGCATTCGAATTTCAAGTCGGAGTTGCGGAACGGAACCAATCCGACCAATCGCCAGTCAACGTACGTGGCGCTATTCGCAGTCTCGAAGCAAGTGCATCATCCGGCCGGAGGACCACATACGGATACCGGAACCGGACGCAATCATGACGGACGCCGCTGGCAATGCGCTGGCCGAGAAGGGCCTGCCGGAGATGAAGGGATGGCTGCTAAAGTGGACCAACTACATAAAGGGCTACCAGCGGCGGTGGTTCGTGCTCTCAAAGGGTGTGCTGAGCTACTACCGCAACCAGTCGGAGATTAACCACACGTGCCGGGGCACCATATCGCTGCACGGAGCCCTTATCCACACGGTTGATTCGTGCACGTTCGTAATCTCGAACGGCGGCACCCAGACGTTCCACATCAAGGCCGGCACCGAGGTGGAGCGCCAGTCGTGGGTCACCGCCCTGGAGCTGGCCAAGGCTAAGGCAATACGGGCGATCGAATGCGAAGAGGAGGAGGAGACGGAAACGGCGCATGTGGTACCCAGTCAGGAGATCAGCTCGGTGGTTCGGGATCTTACCGATCGGCTCGAGAACATGCGCACCTGCTACGACCTGATAACCAAGCACGGCGCTGCCTTACAGCGCGCCCTCAACGATCTGGAGACGAACGAGGAGGAGTCGTTGGCCAGCCGCACGAAGATCGTCAACGAGAGGGCCACCCTCTTTCGGATAACATCCAATGCGATGATCAACGCCGGCAACGACTACCTGCACACGGCAGAGGTGCAAGGCCACAAGTGGTCCAAGATGTTGCACCACGAGCGTGAGCAGCGTCAGCGGCTGGAGGAGATTATCGAACAGATGGCAAAGCAGCAGTCGCAGATGGAGCAGGCCGCCGTGCTGGTGCGCCAGAACAAGCCGGTGCCGTCCAGCTCTGGCGCCGGCACCGCCGGTTCCTTGGTGACCTCAGATGAGGAGATGGAGTTTTTCGACGCCGAGGAGCACGGCTATTCAGGCAGTGGTCGGTCCCCTGAGTCTCCGGATCGCGAGCGGGGTACGTTTATCTTAAAGATGAACAAACGCCGCAGTAGTAGCGAGGACCAGGTGGAGGGCCATTTGGAGGGCAGTTCCTCGGAGAGTGACGAGCAGAAGCGCACCGTACAAACGGTGCAGCAGGTGTGCCTGGTGAGTGCACCTCGGGTAGCATCCGGGGGTCAGGGCGACGACGACGACGTGGACAAGGCGTTGCCGGCCAAGCAGAGCACCGACTCTATCTACGGACGCAACTGGAATCCAGAGCTGATCAAGAAGCGACGCGACCGTGTGCCAGATAAACCGAACCACCCCATCAGCCTGTGGGGCATTATGAAGAATTGCATTGGCAAGGATCTGTCCAAAATTCCCATGCCCATCAACTTTAACGAGCCGCTGTCCATGCTGCAGCGCCTGGTGGAAGACTACGAGTACACGGAGATACTCGACTACGCGGCCACCTGTCAGGACGAGTGCGAACAGCTGGCTTACATAGCCGCCTTTACCGTGTCCGCCTACGCCACGACCACAAACCGCACGGGCAAGCCCTTCAATCCGTTGCTGGGCGAGACCTACGAGTGTGACCGGATGGATGACTACGGTTGGCGGTGCCTGGCCGAGCAGGTGTCCCACCATCCACCGGTGGCAGCGCTCCACTGTGAGAGCAAGAACTGGACGTGCTGGCAGGAGTTTTCCATGACCAGCAAGTTCCGCGGCAAGTACGTTCAAGTGAGTATCGATGTATAAACAAGGGACTCCTGGGATTGGAGTTACTAACTTTGACAATGTGATAACCCAATAATGGATCAATTTCGCCACAGGTCAATCCCTTGGGCGGCGTCTATGTGCAATTTCCAAACAGCGGCAGGCGCTATTCGTGGCGCAAGGTGACCACAACGGTGAACAACATCATTGTGGGCAAACTGTGGGTGGACCAGCATGGCGAAATGGAAATCTTGGGATCGCAGGCGGCACAGGGGCACAAATGCATCCTGAACTTTATACCCTACTCGTACTTCAGTCGCGATGTGCAGCGGAGCGTCAAAGGCGTGGTGATGAACAAAGACAACGAGGTAAAGTGGGTGGTGCGCGGTACGTGGGACATGAAGATCGAGATTGCCCCGGTGCTTAGTACATCGGGATCGGCGAGCAGTCCAACCTACACCACCGGCGAGTTTAAGCTGGCCTGGCGCCGTCGTCCTGCTCCTCCTGATTCGGACAAGTTTTATAACTTCACCATACTAGCCTGCCAGCTCAACGAAGAGGAAGAGGGCGTGGCGCCGACGGACTCTCGCCTGCGTCCCGACCAAAGGCTGATGGAGCAGGGAGACTGGGATGAGTCGAACAAGGAGAAATTGCGCCTGGAGGAAAAGCAGCGCACAGAACGCCGCCGGCGGGAAAACGAGGCGGAGGAGGCAGCGGCAGAGGGTAGGCCATATCCAGCCTATGAGCCCATGTGGTTCAAGCGCGAAAAGGAGGAGGGAAGCGAGGAATATGTGCACGTTTTCAAGAACACGTACTGGGAGGCCAAGGCGGCTCAGAAGTTCGAGGGCTGTCCGAATATATACTAGACAGCAGTAGCCAGCGGAGCAGCCATGGAACCAACTGCAGCCACTACCACACATAGCAGCCTTAGCGAATATTCTAAAGTTTTCAGATATCCAGCCTCCACACAACTAACACACCACAGCGGGACACGCTCCGACTGATTTCGGAGCAGCACATACGCATATAGTAGTACCACACTTCGATCTAGTGCATATATATAATTCCTGTAAACTAACCAAGTTCGATCCATACCCCTGCGTCGAAATGTACTTTGATTATTTCTTCCTGACTACCGGTTCCCCATTTCTAGTGGCTTTCCAAAAGATGGGCAAGACATATGATAGCTCCTAATCCTCGTTTTCTATTCAAACCACTCCACTTGATGTCCTTTTCTTTCCTTTCCGCAGAATGCATATTTCGCCTTTGTTGTGTATATAAAAATATCGAACCGACTCGACAGCCTAGTAAGAAGCGAGAGAATATGTTAAATGTTATAAATTTATGCAATTTATTATTAAAGTATTATTTAAATAAAGCAACAATGTGTGTGTTTAACTGGGAAAACGCCTGGCGACACCACCTGCACATGCGATAAGATCGCGCCTGACTCACGCGATCGCTATCACATAATCCGGCTGCCAATTAGGGTGTAGATCGAACTGGGGCGTAAAGTACAGAATTTTTGTTTTAATAGTAACACTTCGAAAATTGATAAAGCTTTTATCAATTGGTTTTCAGTTTCCTGGATGGGTCATTCAATTACTGTTATACTTTCTTTAAATAAGTACATGTAAATCCTGATCTATTAACAAATATTTAACAGAATACATTTCAAACCTATTTTAAAATAATTTCAAATACTCCAAAGATTACTTTCCCCTAATGTTGCCAGTGCTAACAAGACGAGTACCCCATGTTGCCATCGATCAGCATTAGTTGACTACACACAATAGATAACGTTTTAGCAGGACAGGGCACGACCTCAGATGTTATCTGTGGTCTGGGAGGGTGCGAATATGTCCAGGGACTTTAGGAGTGCCTCGGCCGACGGGTCGCGACCCTGGAAGCGACGGAACACTTCCGCCGTGGGCACAGAACCGCCGGAGCTGAGGAAGGTCTGCTTGTAGCGACGGCCAACGACCGCGTAGTTCTCCCCGCTTCGCTGCTCTGCAAAGCTGCTCGAAATGTCGGCGGCTATTAGGCGGGAATACAAGTGACTGAACTGGGCGGCCGCCCAATCACCGGCAAAAATGTCGGTCAGGGAGCACGGGTGAGCGTCCTTCTTGTCCAACGGCATGCATTGGTAGACCGGCCACAGCTTGCGAACCACCTCCAGCCAAAAAGCATTCGAGCGGTGCAGCTCCACATCGAGATCCGCCAGGTAGAGGTCCTGGCACAGATTATAGCCTGCCAACTGAGTCTTCAGCAGTCGCATCTTCTGGGAGAGCTCAGCCTCCAAAGGCTCACCGCTGCTGAAATGCCCGGAAAGGCTACGAATCACTGTGGGATCGTCGAGGAAGTTGCTCATCACATGACCAGACACCTGAGAGGCATCCCACTCAATGTTGGACAGTCCCGCCAAATCGCTGTAGCCCGCTTGGGTGAGCAGGTGCTGGAGTCCGCTTCCAAAAGTCTTAAACAGCATCTGCAGATCATCGTATCCAAGGAGTGGTGGCTTGGCATCCGGACTTTGTGGCTCCGAAAAGTTGAAGATCAGTGCGCAAAGAGGCGTAAGACCTGCAGATTTATTGCTGTTCCTTATGCCCACCATCCAACCGTTATTTCTGCCGAACTTGTGCTCCTTGGAGTAGCAGTCCACATAGAAGCCACCCACAGGGGTGGAGCTATTGACGGAATCAGCATCGAACACATCATAGAACTTTACTGCCGGATGCCACACCTCTGCATTGGGCTGCTCAACTATTTGGATGCCGAAGAGCTTTTCGCTCAGCGCAAACATTCCGGACAGAACGCGGGGCAGTGGGAAAAACTCGCGGAGTTTCTGCTCCTGGAGACCGTGCTCTGCCACCAGTTGCTTGCGGCGCCAGTAAGCAACGTCGTAGGCTTCCAGCTTGTATTCACAGCCGCTGTCCTGAGCGAAGCTCTGTAGCTGGTCCAGCTCCACACTTTGAGCAGGACCGGCGAACTTAAGGAGCTTAGCGAAGATCTGCTTAAGGTTGTCCACACTGCCTACCATTTTGGTCTGCATGGACATGTCTGCAAAGCTTTCGTAGCCTAACAGATTCGCCTGTCGCTTGCGTAATCCGCGGATTTTTTCAAGGTGTGTGCTGTTCTCCAGTGATTTTTCCTGCTGCGAGGACGCCTTCAGGACACTGGCCCTCCAGACGTTCCAACGCTGCAGTCGCTCAGGGCAGTGCTTTAGAAACCCATCGACAACTTGCGGCTGAAGGGTAATCTTCCAAGGACCCGTCAGATGCTGTCCAGGGTCGCGGGCTGTTGCCTCAAGAAGGGAAGGCGGAAAATCCCTTACAAGATTGAAGTCCGTAATAACCTGTCCAAACGAGTGCACTGCCATGTTGACCTTGTTCTTGAAGTTGGCCCTCTCTCGACCCAAATGGGTTAGCAGCTCCTTCAGTCCATCCTGCTTATCTTTGTCTAGCGTGAGTCCGTTCAGCTTGCCCTCGAGCAGGAACTTCTGTCGCATCCTCTGCTCATCTGGACCGGACTCGGATGAAGCATCCTTGAGTGCCTTATACACCGTCTGGTTGCAGAACTTCGCGGCCCGTGCATTTCGCGCCCGTTCATGGATGTTCATGTAAGATTTGGTGGGAATCAGGGTGGAGTTACCCAGGTACAGAGCCTTGGCCACGCCCCACGTCGTCTCCAGTGGACCCGTCACGGTGTCCAGCTCCCGAAAGATGCTGGCGGCATTTAGCTGTTTGCCACTATGCAAATCGCTCTCCAGCGCTTTCACCGAATTCTCCACCGCGGAGGCCTGTTGCCCAATGGCACCGAGGCACATCTCGATGGTGATGTCACTAAAGGCGGGCAATCCGTCCGGCTTGAGCACGCCCTCGCCTAGCGGTCCTTCCTCGCCAATCTCCGGCACCCTGCAGTGAAAGCTTTAGTGACTGCACATGTCGCGTCCAAGTAATTTCCGTACTTACAGCACTATGTAACCCGGCCGGTTTTCCGTTGTGTGCAGCGGAGCGCTAAACGCGGCCCGGATGAGGGGCACTGACGCCGGGCGTCGTCGCAGGAGGTTCAGCATGTCCTAGGTGAAATCGTTTATCCAGCTGTGTACAATCCCGGAGAGTTTGCGCCGGAATTTAGGATTCTGAAATGGGGGCCAGCGTTTACACAACACGCCTGGACCAAAAAGCAAGTGACAGCGGCCAGGGTTGCCATCAGCGGTGGAGCCGGCAGTGATGCGAAAATCACATTCACAATACTAAAGTCACTGATTCCAACCTGTCCTAAACTGTGACTTCCAATTAGCCATAATTTTATTGTAAACAGTTTATTCCAATAACATAACATTGATTTTACGACACTTCTTTTATTAAATATTCTACAATACATTCTTGTTTGCACGTGAGAGTCGCTTGAAATATTTGTTAAATTATTTTGCACATATAAAAAATTAAATATTTTATGAATAAGGGTCTTATTGTGTACTCTAATATTGAGAATACGTCTCTTGTACAAATCGGCTTTTCATGCTATGCTATTTAGCTAATTACTGAACTAAAATACATGGCAGGTGTCGTTATGTATCAAAAAACAGTTGTTAGACAATAAATAAAAAAATGCGAACGTAGTCTATAATTTTTTTTTTTTTTGGTTTCATATGCCGAGCATAATACTATGCGAATGAAATGTTATAATTAGTTTCTAAAATTTAAATCACCGGTAGTATAAGCTGGTACTTAATTCAACTTAAGGTTTGCCAAGGTGGCATCTAAGTCCATCTTCTGGGGAGGACCATCCCCACACCGGCGGAATCCAACAGTCACCTGTCCGCCAAAGCGCTCATCCTCGGAGGCGGAAGTGGAGGCGGAGCCCGTGAGCGACGGTTGTCCAAGGGAATCGGGACGAGACAGTCCCGGTCCCGAAAGGTGCTTGAAGTTGTAGTGCACCCAATCACGGTAGTTGACTACGGACTGCGGCACGTCCACAATGTTGGCCAGAATGGGGCCGACGATCTTGGACGAGTCGGAGTCCACCAGCTTCGAGAGCTTCACGAAGGCTGCCTCGAAACCCTGCATCACGTGAAGGGCTCCATAGGAGCTCCTACCTATGTCGTTGGTCGGGGTCACTGGATCCTCTATGCTGAGCACCGACTGCCAGTTGTTCTCGGCCAGCGTGGAGCGAAGTCGCTCTTTCTCCACGCAACCGCCATCGCCGAGAACGGAAATTCCGTACTTGAAGAAGTCAAACTTGCGGCCGTAGTAATCTAGAAACTGGATGAGCAGCAGGGCCAGCTTATTGTGGGGACTGTATCGCTTGTTGGTGCGCGCCTGCTGCTGCAGAAAGCTGATTACCATTAGTGTGAGTGCGTAGGACGAGACTCCGCCGGAGCTGTAGACCTCGTTGAATCCCTGAAGGCTGAGGAACTGTTTGAGCACCATGACCAGCTTGGGCAGCTCTGGAAACTCGCGGATAAAGTCCTTGATCAGCTCGGCGGCCTGTACGCCCGATGCTGCGGCATTAAAGGTCACATCGAACCTGATGCGGGAAACGCGATCCGTGAACTTGACCACGGGCACGGAAGCCTTGTCGAGGACGCTAACGCTGTCTGGATCGGTTACGCCCCGACTGACTAGTTCGTTCTCAAGGTCATGCAGTAGCCTGGGGCTCCAGTAGTAACCATTGTACACCACCAGGTCGATGTCCGAGTTTGGCAGGTTCAACCCAGTCCGAAATGAGCCAAACACATCCACGCATGCGCCTGGCCAAATGGAAAGCACCACGTCCTCGATGCGACGCACTGCATCCGCCCGCAGACAGAACTCCGTTGGCGTGGACTGCATATAGCTGTAGAACTGCTCGATCTCCTGGTGCAGCAGACACAGCGCCGGGATCCCATTGCCGTACAGCAGACCGGAAAGCTGCCACGGCTTCGCTGGATTTGCTGCGTCACACATTTTGCGGATCCGCTTTTTGTTTGTGCGGAAAAGGAAGTGAGACAAAATAGAAGCGAGAGAGAGATAGAAAAAAAAATATTAAGGAACGAAAACCGAAAGAAAAATCTGTAAAACGCGAATAGTGCCGTTACTCGAACTGGAATGCCAACTGATTCCGATTGGTGTATATAAAACGTAGTAGTTAAAGTTTTCTCAATTTGAATAAAAGATAACTCAAATTAAAAAAAAATTAACAAAAGAACTTGCGAGTGATGTGTAATTGTTTAAGTCCTTCGAACTTATGGTTGCCAAAAATTCGAAATGTATCGGAAACAAACACCAATGCCTGCTGCGTTGACGTATTTTATACCACCAGTGTTGGTCAACGTTATCAATTCAAGTTTTAATAAACAGATTTTGGCAAGTACAAAATATGAAAAAGGTAAACAACTTTATTAAAACCAGCAAAAATGAAAATGTTTTTCGACGAATCCTCAACAAAATTGACACGTTAAAGCGAATATATAAGGGTAAGTATAAGTAGTAAGTAGTAAAATTAACAATTTAACTTAAGAATCTAATCCTCCTCCAGGTGACGACGGTGCTGCATTTGGAGCTCAAAACGTCGATTCAGGCGCACCCCGCGGATAAATTCTGCTTTCTCCTTTTGGTCCTTGGTTGTCCTACCCTTGAACATATCAATGCGCCGCTGGCGTCGTTCAGCCAGCTTGTTATCGTGCGAATCGGCCGGTCTGCTGGACAACGTGGCGTTGAATGTCTTGACCGCAGTGGTGGACAGATTGAAAGCTGGCTTTGGGGCTACATTGAATGTCTTCACCGTAGAGGTGGTCAGATTAAAAGCTGGCTTCGGCGCTACTTTAAGAGCAGGAGCGGTGGTCTTCAAAGGCAACCGTGATGAGTTCCCCTTATCGGACGGATGTTCCACTACCTTGGTTCGATCAGCGGTCATGTCGATCTTCTTCACCGCTCTTGAATGAGCACGATCCTCCACAGATGTGGATCTCTGCAGTTTCTTCGCCGTTGATCCTGGTACTTGCTTCTGTACAGAATTGGTTAGCACCTTGGCGCGTTCCGCCTTGCGTTCGACGTGGTCCAGCAGACTCTCCATCTTGGCAAACTGCCTCTCATGCATGGCTGCAAAATTGGGCATCTTGGTCCTCTTATTCACCTTGTTGGGTGTGATGGTTTTGTTCAGTGGAATAACACCTGAGGAGCGAAACAAACGTATATTAAAACGAACAAAACAGCTTTCTTTTTCTATATATACCTCTATTGGGCTTTGGGATTCTGCTCATTTTGCAGCGGTTTTCGTCCAATGACTTCGAGCGCCTACGGCGGTGGTTGACATCTGGAATTGTACGTTTAGAAAGGGCTAAGGATAACTATTATACAGAACTTACTACTCTTTTGAAGGCCCTTCCAGCGTTTATCAATGTCCTCGACAATGGCAATCTCGATGGGACTCTGAAAGGATACAGTTCGTGACATGGTATCGTTCCAATGGCTGGTCGATTTGGAACGTTTGCGTTTGTACTTCGGTTCTTCTTGTGCCTTGTGATCATTAGGAACTGTCTCCTCGGTTCCTGTAAACTTAAACATCGGCCTTGCCTTATAAGGTGTGGGAAATAGATAGCCCTTCGATTTCTTCGACTTTGATACATTTGGCGAAGCTACATCGGCCAAATCCAAAATGGTGTTGTCCTGATTATCTGTAGTGGTGAGCACTACTCTAATGGCTGGCTTCTCCGGAATTTCGGGCTTCGAAGCGCAAGCTACAGGCTGCATATCGGTAGGGACGACCAGTATAACACTGGCATCGAGGTCGGAGGTGCTTGCTTTTTGCTGCTTGTCGGGACTAACAACCACAATAACGCTTCCATCCAAATCTTTCTGCTTCTCTGCATCGTATGTTGTATTAAGAGGCGACTGGCTTGATTCATCCAGGCCTTCACTTTCCATCAGCAGTGAGGGCATTTCTTCCTCTGCAAAAAGTTGCTCATCTACTGCATTAGCTACTTCTAATTTATCTCCAGTTGCAGCTATTTCATTGTTTTTATCAAGCGCAGCTGGTTTTTTTGCTTCATCAGCTTCTTTATCTCTCTCTTCATGTTTTTGACCATCCTCATCGACTGGAATCGTTTGGGCTTCATCTTGAATAACCTCCGCTTCATTTTCATCCTGGCTGTCCGTATCCAGTGGGCATAAGCCCAGTTCATCAATGCCTGATCTGGCTACCTTTTGCTTCTTGGTGTCTGCTGCCTGTTGTTGATTTCGATTTTGGGACGCCCTAGAAGACTGCTCTGCAGTTTTAGACTCTCTAGAAGACTTCTTTATGGATAGTGTTTCTTCCTCTACTATAGCTGCTTGAACCTGTGCAGGCTTTTCTGCATCCTGAGGCTTATCCACTTTTTTCTGTGGAACCTCCAACTCCGTGTCCTGCTCCTCCGTGTCCTCTGCAACTGTGAGCTCTGTTTTCTGCTTCTTGGCGGCCTTGCGCTTGGGCTTGCGGCCGCGTTTGCGCGAATTCCTTCCCACCTCCGCGGCGGTCCACTTCTGGCCGGAAGGCTCCTCGTTCTCGGGATCGGCAGAAAGTGCCCCGGCCATAGCCTTCTTGGTGGATCGCACTATAATATCATCGTAGTCGATTGCTGGACGCACACTTTTTCTGCAACTACGTCTCGGAGTTTCGGTGGTTTGATGAAGATGGCCTGGAGTGCCCGGTGTCTTCGGAGAATCAGGATGCGTTGGCGAATCCTTTTCCGAAGTGGCGTTCATGCGTTTGAGGACCCCTCGTCGCGATTTTCTAACCACAGGAGTCTTTGGAGCGCCTGTATTTTCCTTCCTCCGATTGGCGTCCTCATTTTCTTGATCGTTCGGCGCCAAGACGCCGACATCGTTTGCGGGATTATCTACAGTATTGGGGTGAAAACGATGTAGGTACTAGCATGCAAATGCCCTTCACTAAGAACATACCAGTATTTAATTCCATTTCAAGCTGGATCTTTCAAGTTTCCGTTTAAAACAACGCAAAAAAAATGCCAATGATATTCAATCTGTACGTTTTATTTGAAGTAGAGTTGTTGATAATATATCGAAATATCAATATATCGATATTTTCTGAAAATTGTATATTTTTATCGTGATATTGTTTTTGCCCAAATATCGATATGGCGATATTTTTTTCATATTTTCTCATCGGTCACTCTGATTTCAGGCTTTATTTAAGACAATTTTTATGTGGGAAAACAAATTGTATTTAAAAAAAAATAAATATCAAATATATTTTATATTTTAAATATTATCATTTTTTTTTTATAAAAAAAAAATCATCGTTACGATATTTTTTTAATATCACGACATCCCTAATTTGAAGCTGAACTCACAGTGTTACCAGTCGTTATTATCTATTTAGCAATAACTGATCTCGATCAACGATAAATTCACTAAAATTTTTTGCTTTTCCGCTGAATTCAAATGTTAGCTATTTTCAGCCAATTTTAAAAGAAAGAATTCAAAAAGCAATGTTATAAATTTATTTAAAAAACTCTCAAAATACTTAACATGTGAGCTGCCTTATGTGAAGCAAAGCCAGCATCGAGATGGCATCAACGACTAGCAAATGAATACAAACAACTTTACGTGTGAAATGCAATGAAATAAATAATTAAAAACCACGATCGGTGGCAATTGTGGCACTTCCATGGCTTGGGCTTAGCACTCTTGGTTGAGGGCCGTGCCCTGTCTGCTCAGAGCCAACTGGTAGGCCACCTCAAAGGCCTGTCCCAGTGTCATGATGATTTCTTTAGCCAGTTCCTATGAATAAATGTGCAATCGTTAGCATGTTCAGAGATTCACCCATCTATAAGTACGAACCAAGCTATCCACCATAAAGACGTGACAGTAGTGCAGGTCCTGTTCTTTGGTTATGTATGCGAAGTAGCGCAAGTCATCCGAGTCCTGGCAAACACAGTTTATGTTTTCAATGTCATGGCAACAGATGGCAGTCTAAAACCAAGATGACATAAATATATAATCTTTGATAATATAAAGGAATTAAAAGATGGTAACCTTTTTCTCGTGATCTATGAACTTGACGCCGACGCAGGATACAGCAATGCCCACATTAAGACGCGTCTGGAGGTTGGCCGCCTTCAGGTATTTTGTGGAGCTGGTGCAGTTTTCCAGCAAACTGAAATCACTAACACTCGCCGCCGACTTCATGTTCTCATCTATCTTCAGCTTCTGGATGGATTTGCGCGTTGAAAGTGTTCCTTGCAGTTTTCGAATGACGGTTGAGCCAAGATACTGCAGATAATAAATAAGTTTCAAGTATTTAAAGGATATTAAGGCAAATCATACTCACAAACAGGGAATAGCGGATTTCGCCATAAATCAGTGTGTATGGCGAGTGGCACCAATTGGATGCGGAGCTCGGTTTTTTGCCCAATAGCAATTCCGCTGGGTCTCGTATGTGAAGGGACTGCCGCGAATCATCTAAAGACAGGCTTGAAGAATCTTCTTTTAGCTCCTCGACTTCCTGCTCTACTGTGGACACTTCATTGCCAATGTTCTCAAAAATGGTATCGATTTCGGCCCACACTCGCGACGCGCTAAAGTCTTCGCCCAGTGCTGAGTATCGCTGCTTGGATAGGCTGTGTCTGTGGTTTTGGGCGTGGGCCGACCTTACCATGCTGGGTGATCGCAGAAACTCCCTATCGCCCGGCACAGCACCAATTCCATCCACCACATCCGAGGACAAGTTTAAAGTGGATCCCTTAAATAGTCCAGCAAAGGGAATATCCGCAACGTATTCCTCCACCTGGTCAGAGCTCACTGAGTTCGTGGTTCGAGGTGATTCCACCGGCTCCAGCAAGCTGTCTTTACGCAAAGTAGCCGGCTGCATGAAGTTGAAGATCGTGCGTTCGGCCTCGGTGACCGTGGGTGGCGGATAATCCGGCGTGGGCGAATGGCGAACCAATCGCAGTTTGCCATTATTACCATTTGTATTATTGTTATCATCCACAGCTGCCACGCAGCTGTTTTCTTCTATTGGCACCAGATTCGCATAGTCGTTGTATTCGCCGTTTATTCGAGTGCGTGGTTTAGGAACTGGCGGGGAGAGCAGTTTCATCTCCACGTACGAAGCCACCGCTTGTTGACGCACCGCAGCTGCAAATGGACACAAAGCCAGATGTTTATTTGGCTGACTCATTGGATATTATAGATCACATTCTTATATATGTATATATTCGATTGGAGTTTGTAAAGGTACATTACGTACAGTTGCTACTGGTACTGGCGGAGTTATCATCGCTGTTGGAGCCATTTCTTAGTAGATTTATGTATTCGTACGATCTGGAGGGTACCGATCCGTTGGAGATGTCGCTCTCGGCCCGAAAGCTGGGCAGAATGGGTTGTTTGTACACTGGCTTATAGCTGGACCACAGATTCTTGTCATTTGGCCCAAAGTCGTTCAAGGTGTCGCAGGACTTCTGCGTCATGATGGGCTTCATTTGAAGATAATTCTCCGGCGGCTTGGCGAAAACGTCCAGTGAGCTTAAAGAGTGCGAAAGTCCGTTGGCTTGATGATCTTGCTTTCTACATGATGAGGGATGAGTAGGTGGTTATGGAAAAGAAACCAAACGAGACCAGACCAGTTAATTGAAGAAACGCACAACCGATTCTGAAGCTGATTCTGATGAGTGCTAGGGCTAGTGGGCGTGGACATGAGAGTGGGTACGAGTGCGAGCGGGGATGAGTGCGCTTTCCAAATGACATGAGCTGCGGGCTAAGTTAATTAGGGTCAGCAAAGATGTGGGTGTGTGTGTATCAATGTCGCAGTGCATGGAGTTGCTGGGCTTACTTCCTCTGCCTGGGCGGCACCTTCTGTCGCTGCGAGTTCTTCTCGTACAGCCGCTTCGGCAGCGATTGTGTGCCGTTCTCTACGACAAGTGGCTTCTGATGTTCCCTCGCCGCTTGGGTGAACTCTGCAAAAGATCGTGGGTGTTAGAGGTTCAAAGGCACTATTAAAGACCGGTCAACTTGGCATGGCTCAAATCAAGAAGTCAGTTGAAATCGTTATCAATTAATTACTGTCTGAGCTTACTGACACAACTTCAAGTATATATTTATAGGTCTGTGTATTAGCAATAAAATAATTTTGATCTTAATTGTCTGCCTTCAATAAATAAGGTGTACATTTATTGAGTTACAGCTTTGGCATTTGGAAATTTATTACAAATATAATCAATATATGTTTTGAAATGGGGAAACGGACTCAAAGCATTCTGAAGAGCTATATTAATTTAAGATATCAGTAAACATAAGCAATTGCAGCCAGTAAGTATAGTTAATTAGGCCCTTTTTTGTCTACCTCAGAAATTACTCATACGCACCGTTTATGGCACCCACAATGTCGTAGGTCACATGTGGTGGATAATCGGAGAGTATGTCCAGGGCTGTGCGTCCGTTTCCATCGGTGGCGTGGACGTAGATTCCAGCCTTAAGCAGGGTGACCACCACGGACTTTTTGCCACAGAGAGCCGCCTCGTGAAGGGCGCTTCCAGCGTTGGTGAGTATGTTGACATCGACGCCGGCCGCCAGCAATGTTTCCACCACCTTCTTGTGCCCGTTCCGGCTGGCCAGGTGCAGGCAGGTGTGCGTGAAGATGTGCTTTATGGGCGAGCAGCCCAGCATCTCATCCTCGTCGTCCTCCAGACGTTTATACGGCAGTATGAGGTCGGGATAAACGCGAAGCAAGGTCTGAACCACCTGAAGACGGCCGAAATGCGCTGCCAAATCGAGTGCCGTTTGAAAGCTATTGTTGCGTATGGCAGGATCGGCGCCGTACGACAGCAGAATGGCTACCACGGCATTGTGGCCATGTTGGGCGCCTGAGTGCAGCGGCGTCTCGTTTTCAATGGTCTGGGCATTCGGATTGGCTCCCGTGGGCGAGTGCATTAGCAGCATCTTGACGATGTCCTGGTGCCCAGCCCAGGCGGCCAGAAATAAGGGCGTCGAGCCACGTATATCAGGCACATCCAATAGCGCGTTGTGGGAGAGTAGAAGCGTTACAATGTTGCTATGCCCATTTAGACATGCGTGATGCAGCGAGGTATAGCCATTCATGTCCTGGCAGTTGATACTGGGACTTCGCCGAAAGCTGGAAAGAAAATCTATAGTAAAATAACTGGTATAATGACAGGTGCTGATGATGACTCACCTGGATAGCGGGCCATGGCGTTTGCTCGAGTGCTCCAGCAGTTTGTCCACCGTCTTAATGTCGCCGCCTCGCGAAGCCTCCAGCAAATGCTGATCTTTGCCCATTGCTCCTCGGTATCCTCCAACACTAGGTAGCTACAGGAGCAGAAAAACACATGTCATGTTGATTTAGCTTTTGCTCCGATTCCAAGACAATGAGATCATCGCCAGCATACAGAATACCACAGCCCCACCCCCAGCCCCAATCAGGTGGCAGCCAGGCGGAATCAGCTGTTTGGCCCTAGCACGCACACACTAATAGTTTATATTTATTTATACAAAATCGCAATGAACATTCCCCAGAAGTGGTTTTGTTTATAATATGGAGGGCTGACTGGTGGCTCCGCCTCTTCCAAGGTCGTTCCACGGCATTGGGCTACTCCAATTGGAATTTCTTTGCCACCAGATAGTTTTTATCTTTCAGTTTTTAGTTACCGGCTATGTCTACGTCCGATTCGAAAGTGAACAGCCATAAACGATTCACTATACTTGCCACCGCGATAAGCAATTAACAAAACTGCGATCAAAACTTTATTTACGTGGAGCCGATCGAGCAATTGTTCGTTACTAATTGCCTAGGGATGAGGGCGTGAGGAGGCGGGGAAACACACGGCAGTCACGCGCCATCAGTGATGCCCACTATGAACAGGTAATTGCTTTTGGTGACCTGAATGCTATTGGTAAAGATTTTAGGATTACTCTGTTCGTATGAATTAAAAAAGAGCCCCTTTCTATGACTACAAAAGATTGTAATAGTTTTAGCTACTTAACTTTAGCTACGTATTCGATACCACGTGAAAGAAGCCAACATACCACCACTAGCACTGAACAACCGATATTCCCCAACCACCAT